CGTCAGGTCCGACGGGTTTATCCGGGGTTTATCTCCGTGTCTTGTGACCCCTCCGCGAGCGGGACATCAAACACCCCTCCCGCGGCACCCGGGTCACACCCCTCCAGCTCACACGCCCCGGCTCAGTCCGGACTCACCTGAGGTGCCACAGAAAACCTCAGCTCAGGCTCCTTAGTTTAGTTCAGACTCACCTGATGTGCCACAGAAAACCTCCATTCAGACTCCTCAGTTTAGTTCAGACTCCTCAGTTTAGTTCAGACTCACCTGAGGTGTCACAAAAAACCTTCGTTCAGACTCCTCAGTTTAGTTCAGACTCACCTGAGGTGTCACAGAAAACCTTAGGTCAAACTCAGTTTAGCTCAAGACTCAGTTTAGTTCAGACTAATTAGTTTAGTCCAGACTCGCCTGATATGTCACAAAAAACCTTAGTTCAGACTCAGTTTAGTCCAGACTCCTTAGTTTAGTCCAGACTCACCTGATGTGTCACAGAAAACCTCCATTCAGACTCCTCAGTTTAGTTCAGACTCCTCAGTTTAGTTCAGACTCCTCAGTTTAGTCCAGACTTACCTGAGGTGTCACAGAAAACCTCAGTTCAGACTCAGGTGATGTATCACAAAAAACCTCAGTTCAGACTCAGTTTAGTCCAGACTCCTTAGTTCAGTCCAGACTCAGCTGATGTGCCATAGAAAACCTCAGATCAGACTCCTCAGTTTAGTTCAGACTCACCTGATGTGCCACAGAAAACCTCCATTCAGACTCCTCAGTTTAGTTCAGACTCCTCAGTTTAGTCCAGACTTACCTGAGGTGTCACAGAAGACCTCAGTTCAGACTCAGCTGATATATCACAGAAAACCTCAGTTCAGACTCAGTTTAGTCCAGACTCCTTAGTTCATCCAGACTCACCTGATGTGCCATAGAAAACCTCAGATCAGACTCCTCAGTTTAGTTCAGACTCCTCAGTTTAGTTCAGACTCACCTGATGTGTCACAGAAAACCTCCGTTCAGACTCCTTAGTTTAGTTCAGACTCCTCAGTTTAGTTCAGACTCCTCAGTTTAGTCCAGACTTACCTGAGGTGTCACAGAAAACCTCAGTTCAGACTCAGGTGATGTATCACAAAAAACCTCAGTTCAGACTCAGTTTAGTCCAGACTCCTTAGTTCAGTCCAGACTCAGCTGATGTGCCATAGAAAACCTCAGCTCAGACTCCTCAGTTTAGTCCAAACTCCTTAGTTTAGTCCAGACTTACCTGAGGTGTCACAGAAAACCTCAGTTCAGACTCAGTTGATGTATCACAAAAAACCTCAGTTCAGACTCACCTGAGGTGTCACAGAAAACCTTAAGTTCAGACCAATTAGTTTAGTTCAGACTCCTCAGTTTAGTTCAGACTCACCTGAGGTGTCACAGAAAACCTCAGTTCAGACTCAGTTTAGTTCAGACTCCTCAGTTTAGTCCAGACTCACTTGATCTATCACAGAAAACCTTAAGTTCAGACTAATTAGTTTAGTTCAGACTTGTTAGTTTAGTCCAGACTCACCTGAGGTGTCACAGAAAACCTCAGTTCAGACTCGGTTTAGTTCAGACTCCTTAGTTTAGTTCAGACTCACTCGTTGGTTTAGTTCAGAGTCCTCAGTTTAGTTCAGACTCCTTAGTTCAGTTCAGACTCACCTGATGTACCACAGAAAACCTCAGTTCAGACTCAGTTCAGTTCAGACTCCTCAGTTCAGTTCAGACTCACCTGATGTGCCACAAAAAACCTCAGTTCAGACTCAGTTTAGTCCAGACTCATTATTTTAGTTCAGACTCGTTAGTTCAGTCCAGCCCACCTTCCCAAAGCCACAACAACCCCGGAACAGAGAGGAATCCTGGTTTTAATCGGGCAAAACCCAACCGGGAGATGTCTGCCCTAAAAACCCTCTGCGGGCCGCGCCTGCCAGGCTGGGAACGCGGCCCAGGAAAGCCGGGAATGCGGCCCAGGAAAGCCGGGAATGCGGCCCAGGAAAGCCGGGAATGCGGCCCGGGAAGCCGGAGCACCCCGGCCAGGTGAGAGCTCGGGGGCATCCTGGCAGATAAGGGCCCAACAAAGGCGCTGCTGTGGCCCGGGAACAAAGCGCTGCTGTGAGCCGGGAACAAAGACACCTCTGTGCCGAAGTGACCTCCCGGCACAGCCCGCACCGGCCGAGCCCAGCTAAAACACCAAATCGCGCCGTTTCCACCCAAAAAGGAGCCCCCGGTTCTCGGGGGAACGTCCCTGCGCCGTCCTGGAGGGACGTGATCCATCTGATCCGTCCTCCTCGTCCCGGGATGGGGTTGGATGGACAGCGCCGGGAGCGAGGGATGGGAACGGAATAATAAGGGGAATAATAAAGGGATTAAAAAATTGAGTAATAATTCGAATGGTGAATTGAATGATAAATCGGATAATGTTTTGAATAATTATAATTTGGTTAATAAATTGAATAATAATTTGTACAAAAAATTGAATAATAAATTGATTTTAAAAATCAATAGTAATTTGAGTGATAAATTGAATTATAAACTGAATAATATTTTGAATAATAATTTGCACAATAAATTGAATGATAATTTGAACAATAAATTGATTAATATATTGAATAATGAATCGAATAATATTTCGAATAATAATTTGATTAATAAATTGAATGATAAATTGAATAATAATTTGTACAATAAATTGAATAATAAATTGATAAAAAAATCAATAATAATTTGAATGATAAATTTAATTATAAATTGAATAATATTTTGAATAATAATTTGCACAATAAATCGAATAATAAATTGAATAATATTTTGAATAATAATTTGCACAATAAATTGAATAATAATTGAATAATAAATTTAATAATATTTTGAGCAATAATTTGATTAATAAATTGAATAGTGAATTGCATAATAAATTGAGTGATAATTTGAACAATAATTTGAATAATATCTTGAACAATAATTTGAACAATAATTTGAACAATAAATTGAACAATAAATTGAACAATAAATTGAACAATAAATTGAGTAATAATATGAATAATAAATTGAATAATAATTTGAATAACATATTGTGAATTTCATATCTATTTTTAGTTACATAGATATATGATTATTGCATGTATATATTTATAATCATATATATATGACCACCTGCTTGCTTTGCTGCGGGTGAATTTGCAGCAGCTTCTAATTACACATAAATCATAATTATAATTGGCTGGTGAACAGGGACGTGGAACAAAGGAACCCACGGGAGTGAAAGTGCGGGATGCAGAACTCCAGGGGGGCTCCGAGTGTCCCCCCTCGGGTATTTTGGGGCCCTGTGCCCCTCCCGTGCCCTCTCCCCGTGGGCAGCTCCGGGCTGGGCTCCGTTATCAGATCCTGCCCAACTCGGCTGCTCCGGAGCGTTGGCTTTGCCAAGGAAAGCAAAACCTTTGGGAGCCGTTCCCAGCCCAGCCGCTCCCGCTGTCGCCGCCTCCGCGGGACGTGGCCTTGGGCAGCAGCTCCTGGAGGGGGTTTCTCCTGGATTAGGGGGTCTCTTCATCCCGGTGTCCTCACCCTCACCATGAGGATCCTCCTGGTGCTCGTCGCCCTGGCGGGAGCCGCCGGCGCCCAGCGGCAATTCCAGGGGTGAGTCCTTCCCGAGGGATGGGGCGGGATGGGGTCCTGCTGTCCCCCGGGGTGACATCCCAAAGGAGGGGAATCCAGCACCTTCCCAACCAGGACGAGGTGTGGTTTCGCCCCAGGGTTGGAGGGAGGTTTGGAGCGTGGAACAGGTGGAAATTAGGGAATGTCGGATCCTGGGAGCGTCACCCCAGGCTTTGCCAGGGGGGAGAATCCCAGGAGATAAATAAAGGGATAATATCCCAAACAACAGGGGCTGGATGGCTGTGGAGGAAACTGAGGATTGTTGGGAATAACAGCCAGGGGTTGTTGGGAATAACAGACAAGGATTGTTGGGAATAACAGACAAGGATTGTTGGGAATAACAGACAAGGATTGTTGGGAATAACAGACAAGGATTGCTGGGAATAACAGACAAGGATTGCTGGGAATAACAGACAAGGATTGCTGGGAATAACAGACAAGGATTTTTGGGAACAACAGACAAGGGTTGTTGGGAATAACAGACAAGGATTGTTGGGAATAACAGACAAGGATTTTTGGGAACAACAGACAAGGGTTGTTGGGAATAACAGACAAGGATTGTTGGGAATAACAGACAAGGATTGTTGGGAACAACAGCCAAGGATTATTGGGAATAACACCTAAGGTTTGTTGGGAATAAGAGATAGGGATTGTTGGGAATAACAGGCAAGGATTGTTGGTAATAACCAAGGATTTCTGGGAATAACAGCCAAGGATGGTTGGGAGTAACAGGCCGTGGGAAAGAACAAGCTGTGGCTGGAAAAGGGGCCGTGGGGAGGTCGGGCAGGACTTTTCCAGGAAAACATCCTTGTTGGAGTTCCTGGAAATAAGTAAGAGCCCAGCACAGGTGCAGGAATGAGGTCAGGAAGTGCACATGGAATGTAGGGGGATCAGGACCACCCAAGACCCCCAGAGCCTCCAACCCATTCCCATTTTCCTAAAATTTCCTCCCTCCTTCCCTCCCTCCCTTCCTTCCTGTCCTTTCCATCCTTCTTTCCTTCCTTTCCTTCCTCTTTTCCATCCTTTCCTCCCTTTTATTCCTTCTTTCCTTCTTCTTTTCTTCCTTCTTTCCTCCCTTCTTTTCCTTCTCCCTTCCCTTTCCCCCCCCCCACCCCCTTTATCCAACCCACAATTCCCAGGCTGTGTGTGTCATTTCCTAATTAAAAACTCTGGAATTTTTCGTGGACCCTCTGACTTCCATCATCCCTTTCCATCCTGAGCTTTTACAAATCCCTCCCACTCAGAGGGGGGGGGAACATTCCTGTTTTTGGACAGGATGCTGTGGCTGAAGGGGTCCATCGGCTGGAAAAATTGGGAATGCAATGCCTGCCTGACTCCTCCAGGCACGGAATGGGCCCCTGGGAATTGTTATCCGTGGGTAAACCGATAAAGGGGGTGTGAAGAGAAGGAAAGGACGGAAGGGGGAAGGTGGAACAGCTCCACGTGGGATTTTGGGAGCGGCTTTAAAAGGAGAAGGAAGTGGATCCCTGCAGGATTCCGTGGAAGGATTTCAGGATCAGTGAAATGAGGAGAGGGAATTCAGGTTGTGGGAGAAAGGAAAAGGGTGATCAGGAACAGGACAAGAGGTTGGAGGCTCAGGACCGATCCCAGGTGGGAAAACCCGGAGGAGAGCATTCCTTCTCTTCCAAGGGCTGTGCTTACCCCTGGGAGAGCCCAGCCAGGCTGGAGTGGAACCTGTTGGGAAATAAATCCACGGATACAGACAGAACATGTCCACATCAGACATTCCCTGACATTTTGGGAGCTGCCCAGACAAGGCTGGGAAGCATCTCGGGCTCTCCGGCCCTCGCTCTTTTCCCGGGGCTGCTCCAACCCTCTCCCACCAACACCTGCTGCACTTCCCAACCCTCTGAGCCCTCGTGGAGCTTCCAGAGGCTGCTCCCAGCCTGAGCCCACATCCCTGTGTTCCCTCTGCCTCCCTGCAGGGACCAGGTTCTCCGGATCATGGCCAGGGACGAGGAGCAGGCGGCCCTGCTGAGGATGCTGGGAGAGCAGGAGGAGCTCCAGGTGAGCTGGGATGGGGCTCCCAAACATTCCCCCATGCCAGAGACCCCAGAGACACCCAGGCCTCCCTCCTCCCTTTGCCCTCACATCCAGGTTTCCTCCCCATTTGGGATCTGTATCATTTATAACTCTATAAATGGGATGTTTATCTCGGGGCTCCTTCGGCTCCGCTTCACGTCAGGTGGAGGCATCCCAAAAATCATCCTCCAAAGGGGCTTTTGTGGCCCAAAACCCACTTGGGCTGAGGCATGTTTGAGTGGAGGATCCACTGAGTGAGGCCAACCCACTCAGGTCCCCACTTGTGTCCCAAAACTCGTCCCAAAGCCTCTTTAGATCCTTCCTGGGAAGCTCCTTCCGGAGCGTTCCGTGGATGAGCACCACCACAGGCTGCTCTTCCAGGTCAAGCCAACCTCTTCCAGCTCAGCTTCTCCTCTCCAGGTCACCTCCTGTGTCCCAAAACTCATCCCAAAGCCTCTTTAGGTCCTTCCTGGGAGGCTCCCTGAGGTTCTGGGGGGCTCAGGGTCTGAGCACCGGCACGGGGCGGGGCCCAGCTCCCTCCTGCAGCTCCACTTCTCCCTCCCAGCTGGATTTCTGGCATCGCCCCTTCGGCCCCGGCCACCCCGCCGACCTGAGGGTGCCCTCCCCCAGCCTCGGGGCAGTGAAAGGCTTCCTGGAGTCCCACAGTTTTCCCTACACCGTCATGATCGAGGACGTGCAGGTAACGGGGAGCGGGAGGAGCTCCGGCAGCTCCGTCCCCAGGGAACGACCAAACGCTTGGAAACCACGAGGAGCTGGAATTGGAACCCAACCCCCAGCCCCCTCCAGCCTACCTGATGTTGGGTTTTTTTGCCTCCCCAAACAGAAATTACTGGATGAGGAAAAGGAAGCCATGGCGAGGTCCAGGAGGGTGAAGAGAAGCTCCAGGGCGTTCGATTTCAGCTCCTACCACACCCTGGACGAGGTGCTTTTCTCTGGACAGGCTCTGCCGTGCCTGGCTGGGCTCACACCCGACCTGTGCCATGGTTGGATCCATGTGGTGACGCTCCTGGTGGTGGGGGAGACACCCCTGGGACAGGCCTGGGGCTGGAAGGCGTTTCCAACCTCATTTTAGAGGGCGTTGGGGGATCTCACAGAACTTTCCCAGGGAAGCACCAGGCTTTTCTCCAGGGAAGCACCAGGTCTTCAGGGAAGCTCTTAGTCTTCTCCAGGGAAGCACCAAGTTCACAGGGAAGCACCTGGACTCCAGGAAAGCACTTATTCTTCTCCAGGGAAGCCTCAGGCCTTCTCCAGGGAAGCACCAGCTTTCCACATCAGGTCTTCTCCAGGGAAGCACCTGGTTTCCAGGGAAGCACCAGATCTTCTCAAGGGAAGCATCAGGTTTCCAAGGAAGTTCCAGGTCTCCAGGGAAGTCCCAGGTCTTCTCCATGGAAGAATTTGGTCTCCAGGGAAGCCTCAGGGCTTCTCCAGGGATACACAAGGTCTCCAGGGAAGCCTCAGGGCTTCTCCAGGGGTATATTAGGGTTCCACAGCAGGTCTTCTCCAGGGAAGAATCAGGTCTCCAGGGAAGGCCCTGGTCTTCTCCAGGGAAGCACCTGATCTCCTCCAGGGAAGCCCTGCATGTTGCCTCTGGTGCTGGAGGCCCTAAAACCCAAGAGGCAGCCCAGGGTGAGCCTCCTGACCCGGCAGCTCCTCCTTCCAGATCTACTCCTGGATGGACACCCTGGTGGAGGATCATCCCGGGCTCGTCAGCAAGATCCGAATCGGGCAGAGCTACGAGGGCAGAGACCTGCTGGTGCTCAAGGTGGGTCCTGGGGGTGGGTCCTTCCCCCTCTTGGCAGGAGGAGAGGACATGGCCTCAGGCTGTGCCAGGGGAGGCTCAGGTTGGACACCAGGAGGAATTTCCTCATGGAAAGGGTGGT